GTGAGGTTTTTGTGAAAAGTTTAAGCGAAGGCCGAGTCCCGCCCCGCCTAGCTACGCTGCGCTCCTCGCCCGCACGAACGAACGAATGCACGCACGCGGGCGATCCCCACCGAGGGTTTGTCAGGAAATTTAACTTCGTTGTTGCGAATTCTGTTCTTTGAGTTTGGCCTTTTATTTTTCTCTCTCCTGTAGGTGCTTGGAGGATGTGTCTGGCGGAGGTTAGAATGCATGTGTCAGCAGAGGAGGGACTGTCAGACAGGCAAACGGACGGGCGATTTCGCGAAGTAACCTTGGCGAGGTCGGACATCTGTATTCTTGGGTGGACCGTCATGCTCGTCATAAACTCCTGTGTGTCACATGCTTCTGTGTCACACATCCTTTTTCTTTACACTTCTCAATCCTATCCTTCCCGTATATATTCGTACTAGTGAAACATCATAAATGTAATGAATCATTGTTATTTACTCTTCATTCGCAAAACCACGGTGTTCTCAGTCACATTGGCCATCCTACCCCTAGCACCGCCCACTGGTCAGGCTGCCCGCATACTCCGGTCCTTTCCCATTAATTCTGGCCAGCAAGGTTACACCGCCTTTGCACCGTCCACCTCCATCTACAGAAGCTGGACCACCTCCGTCCCAGTGCCCGCCCCTCCATCTGGTCGACTGTCACACTCGCCACGCCCCCTCACTCCTTCGAGCCCCTCGCCGCACCGTCTACTACGCATCCTAATCTCAGATCTCGCGACCCGCACGATCTCCCATTCGTCTTGCTAATCTCCTTCCAACACGCTATGACATCCTACCCCTTTCCCTGGGTCACCTCGCCTCTTCCGTCTTCCGGTCGTCATCGTCTGCCACTGTGTTGCTCTGCCCATCGGCCTTCCATCATTCTGTCGCTCCTTGCTCCGTCCCACAAGCATCCGCCCGTTTTTGCACTCTGCCTTGGCATTTATTTACATTTATTCCTTCCCTTTTCACGGCTCCAGAGCTTCATTTGGAGTTTTTTTTTTCTCCTTCCCCTTTTCTCTCTTTAAGCTTTGCTACCCTCGTCTCTTGTCGTCTCTCACTCATATTCTCATACCCTTCTCCCTCTCCTCCTCCTCCTCCTCCTCTCCTCCCACTCTTTATCTCTCTCCCACAGAAATACTATTTCGAGGATAAAGAGGGGGGGGGGGGTATACACAAGAAGGACGGAAATCAGAAGTTGTGCCTGAGGGCAAGGTCTCATACCGCAAATTTTTCTTTCCTTTTTACTGTGCATTCTTTTTATTGGTTGGTAATTACTGCTATCAAACAGACAACAGGAGAGCAATTAACATTTGACGAAGCCTTTTTTGAATTATATACAAATAGATAAAAAAACACTTGAATATTGAGATGAAAACGATTTTTTGTTCAGTTTGTAAAAATTCGGGAATGTAGCTCGCTCGTGCTGAATTGGTGCAACTTTTAAAGGCGAGACAAATACAGCATGTAAAATTAGACACAGTTCCCATTACTATTTCGAGTTAGAGCAAGGTCAGTGTGATCGTATCGAAAGAGAAACAAACAAAATAAACCAGCGTAAGATTTTCCATGTTTTAGACATGATATTGGAAATTGTATCGTTTTACTACACTTTCTCATCCTCTGTCTTCTTCTCCCTCGGGTCCTCTTAAATTATCTCCTTTTTGCTCCTCTTTGTCTGCCTTATTTTCTTCCCAATTCAGCGCTACCTCCTCCTCGTATCCCTCCTAAGACTTCGCTCTCTTCTCCTCCCTTTAATTTACGTTCTCTTCTTTCTTTTCTTCTTCCTCTTCCTCCTCTTCTTCTTCTTCTTCTTCTTCTTCTTCTTCTTCTTCCTCTTCGTCCTCCTCTTCCTCCTCCATCATCATCTTCATCTTCTTACTACCTCTTCTTCCTTTCCTTTGATCTTTTAGGGCAACGCGTAACAATTTCGAACGATTGTTAACAAAGAAAAAACAAATAGAAATATGTCAACGGCTGGAGTTTGAGCTTAAACATTTATGATTAGAGAAGGATGTTGACAATAGTTGGTACACATCGTCAGTATGTTGGCTGATGGAGCAAATAAACTCGATCATTTTGTGCTCGCTCTCACTCATTCTATGTTCGCTCTCCCTCTCTCCATCTCTCCTTTCTCCCTCCCTCATTTTCTCTCACTCACTCACTCACTCACTCACTCACTCACTCACTCACTCACTCTCCTCTCCTCTCCTCTCCCCCTCCTTCCCTCCTTCTCTCCTCTCCCTCCTCCTTCCCTCCTTCTCTCCCTCCCCTCCCCATGGCACCCCTCCCCCTCCCATAGGACCCGCGCGGCTCAAGGGTGTTCCTCTTGACTGGCGTGTGCTAAGCAGGTCTTGTATGTCCGCCTCGACTTGCTAATGCATGGGAGTTGTAGAAGGTGGTGTTGGTTGAAGTGCGTGCGCGAGCGGGTGTGCGGGTTTGTTTGTTTGTTTGTTTGTTTGTTGGCGAGTGAGGGCGTGCGCAGGTGTGTTTTTCTCGGTTTATTGATGTGCGTTGAGATTTGTTGGATGACTGTGCAGATAGATTAATATATCTGTGTGTATGTGTGCGTGTGTGTTTGTTTGTTTGACTGTGTGTTGTGTGTGTTGTGTGTGTGTGTGTGTGTGTGTGTGTGTGTGTGTGTGTGTGTGTGTGTGTGTGTGTGTGTGTGTGTGTGTGTTGTGTGTGCGTGTGTGCGTGTGCGTGTGCGTGCGCGTGCGTGCCCGCGTGTGTGCCTGTGTACGTGTATATGCCTGCAAACAAGTATAAGAGCGCCTGTACGTGTATGAGCGGTCTCCTGCGCATTGCATTCAATATTTCACTCGTAAATTCGATGAACCAAACCAGCGCCTCCCCTCGTGTAATAGATCAGGATTAGCGTTAGGCCTACGGGTCCCATTTCGGCGTTTGGAAAGCATCCCCCCAACACGGCCTAATCCCAGCTAGGCCCTCTGAAATACAGGTAAGTGGGCGTGTTGATTAAGCCGGCCAGGTGTGGGCGTTGAACAGGGTGAGCGAATGCGGGCTCACGGGAGGGGATTGGAGGGGGAGGGGGGGTGGGGGGGAGGCCGTGACGTAATGTTTGAATCTACGTCTGACTTTGATGTTTTTGTTTTTATTATTGCCTCGGGGATATGGCGTAAGGCCGTGACTGCGTGTTGAGGCCGCGAACCGCTACGTTAATATTGATCTTTGTGTGATGAGTAATAAACAGCTTGTCCCAACGGTGCGGTGCCCTGAATCGTGCTTTGCATTGCTTTCGGGCTGTATGGCATCTCATTTTCTCTTTCGTTTTCTGTTGTTATTTCTGTTTCTCTCTTTCTCTCGCTTTCTTTATCTCTTTTTTTATGTTTTTCTTTCTCGTTCTCCTCTTCTCTCTTGTCTTACTCGTTCATCTCTCTTCTCTCTTTCCTCTCGTTCTCTTCTCTTCTCTCTCTTTTCTCTCTATCTTTCTCTTGTCGCTCTTATTATTTTTTTCTCTTCCATTCTCTTCTCATTTCTCTTGTCTTGTCTTTCTTTTTTCTTATATTCCTTTCTCTCTCTCTCTCCCTCTCCCTCTCCCCTTTCTCTTTCTTCGCCTCCTCCTCCCCTTCCTCCATTCCTCTGAATCATCTCTCATTCCCCTTTCACCTTCTTCCCTTCTCCCATCCCCCCCATTCACTTCAAAATTTCCCCTTGCCTTCACCTTCTCCTCTCCCCTCCCATCCCTCTCCTACCTTTCCTACCCTCTCTTCCCGTATCCTCCCTCCCCTCCCTCCCCCTCCCTCCCTCCCCTTTCCCTCCCCTCTTCCCGTATCCCTCCCTCCCCTCCCTCCCTTCCTCCCCTCCCTCCCTCCCTCCCTCCTCCCTCCCCCCTCCCTCTCCTACTTTTCCTTCCCTCTCTTCCCGTATCCTCCCCTCCCCTCACCTCCCCTCTCCTACCTTCCTTCCTTCCCTTACCTTTCCTTCCCCTCCCATTCTAACCCTTCACCCTCTTATCTGTTACGCTTCTCTGTTGTCTGTAGTCTTATTATCCCTCCCAGTCCCCGACAGACGGCAGCGCATAGTAGACCACTTTATCCTTGAATGGAGCACTTTATTACTTTGTATTGCGCAACAGAGAAAAGGATTTCAGACCCGGGCAAGTGAATGGAGTGTTGATTAGTAAACTGAATGTGTTGCATTTTTCATGTTGCAACTCCCATGTCTTGGGCAAAGGATGGCGGGAGTGTTATTTATTTTTTTTTTTTTTTTTACTATTCTTCCCTCTCTTTCTAGCCATTCATATGGTTTTCCGTTCTTCTCATTTGTTTTTCTTCTCCTCTCCTATCCTCTCTCTTTTTGTATCCGTTCTCTCCTTCCGTTTCTATTCTCTCTTAGGCCGTTCTATCCCATCCCCTTGCTATAAACTCTCCCCTTTACAGTCTCTCTTTTATTTATGCCCATTATATTTCTCTTCTCCTCCTTCCACCTCCCTCCCACCTCTCTCTCTAGCTCCCTCTCTCCCCCCTTTCTCCCTCCCTCTCTCCCTCCCTCTCCTCCCTCCTCTCCCCCCCCTCTCCCTCTCTCCCTTCCTCTCCCTCCTCTCTCCCCTCTCTCTCCCTCCTTCACCCCTGCTCCCTCCCTCCTCCCCCCGCCCCCCGCCCCCCCCACATACAACATATTTCCATTAAGCTGGGATTATGTTGCTAATTGCTCCCCCCGGACTATATATGCTTTATCACATTATAAACTCGACCCCCGTAAACAGGGGCGTCACACGAACCGGCAGGAGATGGGGTGGGGGTGGGGGTGGGGGGTGCTGGGTAGGCCTTTGATGAGGGCGTGCGGTGGCGTTGCAGGGGCGCTGGGCTCGTTGTTGAGTGCAGGATGGGGTTGGTCGTGGTTGTGGTCGTAATTTTGTTAGTGGTTGTGGTCGTCATTGTGATTGTCTTAGTTGTTGTGGTTGTAATTGTGTTAGTGGTTGTGGTCGTCTTCTGGTCGTGATTGCGTCGGTTTTAGTTGTTGTGGTTG